AAGAAGACCTGTCTCTGTCACTGAGGGGAACTGCTTTTTAGTTGATGGGGGGAAATTTAGACATGTTATCTTTTTCAATCTCAGTCAGGAATACTACAAAAAAAGGACAACTCAAAACATTCTGGAAACTTTCCATACACACTGTATTAGAAAAACGTGGTGTTTTCACTGAAACACATGGATGTGAAAATCAACACATGGGTACTCAAAATGGGTGAGGCTTTCTTTTTCCACCAATGCTGTCGTTTAAGCAGGGTGACTCAGAAACTCACCAGGCGACATGCTAATTGCGACAGGGGCCACCCAGAGTGGAAAAAAACTGGAGACACTTTCCGAGTAACAAACTCTACTGAGTTCAAGGCCTTTGTCTTTTAATTGAAGGGGCTGAGTAGAAGTTCTGTAGCCTCTCATTAGTGTGTTTTTACAGCACATCACAGCTACACACTCAGGAGGTTAAATGTCATAATTGATGAGAGTAGGTGCAACAACAGTACTTGATTTGATTCACTGTGCTATTTACTTATTTCAGAATATGACTGAAGAAACTTCCTACAATGATAAAAAACTGAGACTAATGCTGAAATGATAAAAAATTGACTCTCAAGCTTTTTTGTCAAAAGCTTTCTTTAAGTATTCACAAAATGCTTTAAAAAGAAACCTCTTTATAAGCTTAACTCCCCAGACTGTTAGTATTGTATGGTGTAATGGTAGAAAATCAATTTTAGTTAATGGCTTATTTATATGAAAACATATATCATTATTAAAATACACATTTCTGGTTTGTTGCCTTAATATTTTAGAATATCGGCATTTTGGCAAACTCTGATTTAACAACATGATAAACAAACCAATTAGATAAAAGCTCAATATTGTATGAACATTTTATGATGTGCTCCTATTAGTTAATTTAAATTGTTTGATATAATTTAGATTGAAATAGTTTTTTTTAACTTGGCTTTCGCGTCCTCGTATGAATAAAGACCAGCACATATGAGACACAGCGACACCCAGTGGCCACACTGTGTAAGATAAAGCACATTACAGTGAAGATACGCGTGTAAATCCAATCTAAACATGTCAAAAGTCAATTGGACAAAAGTCACCAAATATCACACAATACGTGGCCATTTTTTTCACATCTCTGCTAACAGAGTTGGACAAAAATGTGATACCAATTCACAAAAAATGTCCAGAGAGATTACGAGATTACATGTATTATTTGAGTCAGTGTTTTCTCCTTAAAGTGCTGTTAGTGGTTTAGAGACTTGGGCGGTATGACGAGAAAACCAGATCCCTTTCTGAGGACAGTCCACAGCCGGTTAATCCGCCTGGATTTGTGAATGAAAGAAGTTGCGGTTGGTTTGTTTTCCTTTGCCCGCAGTGGGGGAGGAGTCGTCGGTTAGTCTTACAGAGGCGGGAACTGAACTCGTTCTCCGGGCTCCTCCCGGCTACAAAACGAACGTACGCACTGGGCGCCAATGGGAAGGTGGGACAACAGGTAGGCGTCCTCCGACCTCGTCTGTCTGCTCAAAGTGTCTCTGCTCCGCGCGGAAAAGCGTGAACTGCAAGCCGGACCGGAACTCTCTGCTGCCTGCGTGATTCCAGACACATTTAGGGATTTTTTTCCTTTGACAGTCGAGTGTTGTGGCGGGGGAACCCAGGAAACACCACGGAGAACTGCTCTGAAAGGACCAGGATAAGCTCCCCATGTTTCTTCTCGGGAGACGTCTTTCTGGGGACCGAATGCTGATGGTAAACCGAGACTTTTGTTGGCGTGCAGTTCAGAACTGTGCATTTGTCCCGTTACTTTACGTTCACGTCGGGTGGACTGTGTGTCGAGACAACAAGAAAAAAAGGACTGACACTGCCCTAGCAACAAACCATTTCTCCAGTTATCATGTGCTATCAGTGCTGCCCGTTGCATAATTCAAGAAGTGTAGCAGTTTCTTGACTATCCTGCCCAGTGACTCACAACAACGACGCCTCCATCATGTTCTTATGTAATTTCCCGGTCCTTTTTTAATACTCTGAATGTCTCTAAACCTATCTTAGTCTACTTGTACACCTGAAGAAAGAGTATCAATCACACGGGGTTTGTGATAGTTTCTGTTTTTCTGTTCAGAAGCGCCACTCTGTTCTCACAACTGCCTTTTTTTTTTTAAATCTTCACCAGTGAACTCGGCTCCTCCGGGAGAAATCCAGGACCTGTCTTGATTACACAGCCTATCGCCGGGAGGTCAGACGCTCCCCTGACCCGGATCCCCCCCCCGGCGGACATGGAGGTTCTGCGGCGGTCTTCTGTGTTCGCCGCGGAGGTCCTGGACGTGTTTGACCGGTCCCTGACAGAGAAGGAGCTGGTGTCCCAGTCCAAGGCGCTGTGCAGGGACTACATCCTGTCCAGGCTCAACCAGAACGGGCTGGGGTGGTCCAAAAGCGAGATCAATTTCTCCCCCTGCAACGCAGCTCTCGCTGAGGTGTCTCTGGTGCTTCTCTGTCTCGGTAAGAAACCGCCAAGAAAGCTCCAAAGGCATGCGGAGTCTTTGTTTATGCAAAAAGAAGAAAAAAGGAACAATTTATTTCAACTGTTCCAAGTGCTTCCAGAACTCAAACAATTAATCTTATTGGGAGGAAAAATCAGAGACTCAATGAATGTCATCCAAATCCACATCTTTTGAAACATTTTAAGAAAAGCTTCTAAGGTCTCTGTTAAACTATAAAACCGAGTTTGTGTAAGAAGCTCTTTTGGGACTTGTCAAAAGCCTGTTTTTGGATGGTGACAATATTTGCCTCTGCATGTTTTTTTTTCAGGTTTAAAGTAAGATTGGAGACTGTTGGATTAGCTGTTGAATTCATTACTTAATTTAGTTAGCTTTAAAGAAATATGCACTTGGTCTTTGTCCAGGGTGACATCAGCTCTTCCTGCCGGCCCAATAAGGCAGAGGTGCTTTGTTTTAACAACTATTTGTTATTTTGTGTTTGAGACATATCGACGTGGAACAGAAAGAGGTCGATTACAGTCATGAAATGTAATGAATCAGACTGAATAGCTCCATAGACCAGAAGCCCACACTGTCCTCGCTGACTATTTTAAGACACCATAAGCTTGGAACAAGTGATGAGTAAAGGATCATGTCCGTAAATGGGACACATGCTCGGACTGTGTAGCAGTCGCCTCCATATTTTATCGACTGGGTTGAATTGAACTACTCCAATGCCGGCCTTTTCAAATGACTTAATTTGTCTAATTCATACAGATTTGAAATAGTTCCTTCTAACAGACTTTCCGCTCGCTCTCCACTTCCCCTCCTGTTCCTAGGCGACGAGCTGGAGTGTATACAGCCCGGTCTGTACAGGAACGTGGCACGGCAGCTCAACATTTCTGTTGCCATGGAGAACATGGTGTCGGATGCCTTCCTCGGCGTGGCAACAGAGATCTTCTCAGCAGGTACGGCACCGGCCCACTGCGAACCTGGAGGTGTTGGTGATGAGCAAGCTGAAACCTAAACATGTCATAAAGAGCCAAAAGAGAGCTGTCAGCACAGGAAGTGACTTTCACTTGTGACTGCAGATGGAGGCGGTCGCTGTGATTTAGCAGATGTGAGTCTGCACTTTTCTCCAGGTCTGTTTGCCTCAGAGAGCCTTTCAGGGAGTGGGTGTGAATCAGATGTACTGTAGGTGGAGGGAAACTTTATTAGTTCTGCCATCTAAGTTTAGAAACTTTGTTTCCTGAACGCAGCCTCTGGCTGCTTGTAGGTAATCAGTCTGTTCCTTGCACTGGTTTTCTGTACAGCTTCGTAATCAGATCAAAAAAACAAAATACACCAAAAGTTTCTTATTTCTCTTTTGATATAAGCCTTTGTACAATATGTGGTTCATATTTGGCGTTCATAAGATGATAGCCAAAATGAATGGTAATCATCATTTTTCAAACTGATTATCATTTACATAACCAGCTAAGTTAGTTACAGCTCATGTGGTCTTATGTAAGCACAGGGGCAGAGCAGTCTTTTGTCCCTGTTACCTTATGTTTTATTGAATTATTGTAGAACTGGACATGCCGAGGCCTAGCTGGTAAGGTCATGAGATCAGAATGTGTTCTCTGATAGAGATATATATATTTTGTGATCAGTGCACTTAGACCATTTTTGGACTTGTAAAACTTGGTATTTCAAATATGGATTCAATTAGCAACTTTTTAAAAATCCTTTGGATGGATGTTAATGTCCTTAAGGAGGACCTCTCCTTTTCTGTACTTGAGTTGGTTTCAGATGATTAGATTGAGAGTTTGACGTCTAACACAATTAGCATGCACATCAGATTTAATTGGAATTGTTTTAGAAAATGTCCCCAAGAAGGAATACTGGTGGTTTTTGTAACCAGATCAGCATGTAATGGTTTTTACTTGACTTCAGTATGTGAGGATTCAGTCAAATCATCTTAAGCCTTTTCTTACACTTTCTCTTGACTGCAATGCAACACAGTCTGGTAAAAACCTGAGGAAGATTTCGTCAGGATCTGAGGATCTAACTGTGCTTAATTTAGGCTAAAGCTGCCGCAAAGATGGGCTAAAAAAACGACTAGTAATTCTACTGACACAGTTACACTGAATTATTTCATGCCACTTAAATAAAAATGAACAGTAAAAATGATGGCTGACGGCATAAAAAAGTGAGGCTGCCTAGTTTTTCGTCCCACCAAAAAGAGTTTGGGATTTCCTTGATTCAAAACATAATGGATGACTCATTGTTTGATATTTGGTAAAACTGACAGCTGTCATTGTGCTTGCCAATTACTTCAAGGACTTTCGCTCGGTTGCTAAATGATCTTTTTAAGGGAAAAAGATTATTCACCTTGGTCGTACATGGAGCTTTTGATTAATGGTTGGCTCACAAGGTTTTTCCTCTATGAATTTCTCTAAGGCCACAAATCTTTCTTGGCTGCTGTTCAAATTCCAGTTGAGCCTTTCTCTTTGCTGTGGATCTAATCTTGATTCTTGTTTTCCTCTGGCCGGCTGGCCAGCCGATGCACACTATTAAAAGCAGCACTGACATTTTGAAGTGCCCAAATAGAAGTGACTTGTCCTCTGTACGAGCCTTGGAGATTCAAAGTCAGCCTGCAGTGTGATGAACATTGTAAGATCTGGCCTGTTTCCTGGAAATACCCAAAACGGGCTTGCTTTATATAATTTTCATGCCTGTGTTTTTGCCAAACATCCCATCGTTTTGACGTCATGAGGCTGTAATTTGTGGAAGTGGCGTGGGATCCCTCCTGAAAACAAACAAACTTCTGAACTCGGGCTGATCCAGCCTCCCGGGACGGGTTCAAACCTGGATATAAATAGGAAAAAAAATCATACAAATTTGTCATGACATCTGGAATTTGCTTCGACGCATTCCTTTTAGCTTTCTTCCATTCGCTAGCCATCCTCCACCACATTGGAATAACATAGGAGCTGGTCTTTTTGTGAAGCGCAGCAATCATCCGTACTTGTACTTCAATAAAATCAACCTGGCTCATCTCCTATCTATTTTCTCCTGCCTCCCACTCCTGTTCATTCTTTTTCCGCCCTCTTGTCTTTATCCCCGACAATCTCATCTCTATTCTGGGCCTTGCTTCTCGGTAGGTAACGAGACATGACGTGCTCTGACAGCTTCCATGGACAGTTATCTCATTTAAGCTCACCCAGATCTATCTCCTTATAGCCAGTCAGACGCTACGGGTCAGTGCTGAAGAACATTCATGACAAAGCAAGGCGGGCTAAAAGAGGCCAATGCCATTAAGCTGCCCCGCATCGGCGATCCCTGTTAAACAGCCTCTGCTTCTTGGGAAACGTATCTAGAAATGGCCGGGTAACCTTAATTTTCAGACCGGGGCAGGGTTTTAATGTTAGCATTTCTTAAAGCCGGAAGGAGAGGAAAAGTCTCATAGCTTTTTGTGGAAGTCAACTTGAACTTTAACTGTGCCTCATCCTCAAAATGGCAGCATTTTCTCCCTCTTTTTTTTTTTTTTTAAATTGACACTTGGCTGATGTTATAAAATGTCCTATCAGTCACATTAACAAACAACCTCTGGTTTGTTGACTCGGACCTGATTTACTGTTTATGTCAGTGCAAGGTTCACCGCCTGCCGCACATGTGCCGTGTCAGATCAGACTGTGTGACGGCAGCTTCAGTGGGGGTGTGTGTGGTTGCTCGGGCAACTGGGTGGAGGGGTTGTTAGGCTGCTTGACCATCAAGCAAACTGTTCCGTGACACATTAATAGTTTGTTTGATTATGTAATGATTGATTTAGTTCCGGTGACGTGTTTAATTTAGACTTTTTTTCCCCTCCTGCTGTAGGTATAACATGGGGTAAGGTGGTATCCATGTTTGCGGTCGCTGGAGCCCTGGCCGTGGACTGTGTCCGGCAAGGCTACCCCACAACCGTTCATATCTTGGTGGATAGTCTGGGACAGTTTGTCCGCAAATTCCTGGCTCCCTGGCTGAAGAGGAGGGGAGGATGGGTGAGTACCATCTGCTGTACTTTCTGAACGTCTTGATGCTTTATCTGGTCTTGTTATATGATACAAGTTGTTTTTTTTGTGTCCTGATATAATAGTGTAAAGACATTTGAAGGGTTTGAGGACATTATTGTCAGATTTTAGATTCTTAAAGCTGCTTAAAAGATAATAAACATAAGACTGGGTTTTTGGATTTTTCATGAGCAGCTGCTTTCTGTGGGGGGAAATGTTCTTTATACTATGAACCCCTACAGATATCCTCTCATAGAAAAGCTGTAGAACACACCCAAATGGTATGGCCTTTATTTAATCATTAGAATATTCCTGTTTCCCTCCTTCTAGGTGGAGATCACAAAATGTGTGGTGAAGAAGGATCTCACCCCCGAACACAACTGGCTGTCCTCTGTCGTGGAGTCCGTCAAGTATTTCCTCACCACGGTGTACGTCTACGTCATGAAGGAGCCGTGAGGGCTGACACGCAGCGGAGCAGTCGCTTTCCGCACTGGACTGGCATCTCAGACTTGTTAATAAACGCCGGACAGGAGACGGCCGCTGTGCTCCGTGAGGTCGAGCCCGTCGGCAGACTTGCGTTGGTTGCTGAACGGCCATCAACAAATGTCTCTTCAGCAGCGTGTTTCTGTTGTCTCGGTGATTACCCTTCATCCAAAGAGTGGTCACCATGATATTAAACGGCATAAATGGCACCTTCTGTATTATTCCACCTCTCCTCCGCTTCTTCTTACTGCTTGTGACAGCTGCAGGGAACCATGCTTCTGCAGTGTAATAATTTGAGGCTGTCCATACTGCTGAGATCATTCTATGGTGTGCTATTTTTGTTTTTCTTCTTTCTGTCTTAAGAACATAAGAGGAGGTATGAGGGTGAAATCTGGGTTTGCAATGAAACTGATGCCCCGCTGGCTGGGAGGATATTTTTGAAGTTTTATTGGTCTTTTTTTTTTTTTTTTTAAAGGCCCTAGAAGAAGAAGTGTTTCAGTCAACTGAGTTCACACTTCAGAGCAATATTGGATGATATTGACTGTTTACAAGTAATGACTGCAAGTTATTGTACTTTACCACACCACAGTGTTCACTCTCAAGATGAGCTGATATTTTCTGGTAAATACTCTGCCAATTTTTTTATTTTATCTTATCTTTTGGACACAACTGAGAAACATTGTGTCTTCTAGTGTCCATTTATCAGCCAAAGAACTTGGAGGACGACTACAAACCGAATGTGAATATTTTAGTCCTACTGATTTCTGTTTTTAATCTGTAACTTATTTATGATTTTAATCGTATTTCTTTTTATAACTTCTGTAAAAACCACTGCACTAATTAGACTTCCACAGCAACAGCTCTTCAGGATGATCGTGTGATTTATGGGTGTCACTTCCACAGTGTTGATGCATAAATGAGGCTGGCTGATTGTGTTTTTGTGTGTGTGTGTGTGTTTTGGTATTTAAACCCACAATAAAACTTAACAAAATCGTTCATGATGGACTTGTGAGACCTTATTCCACTGAAAAGAAAAGAAAGGTTTCGCTGTTTACTATTTATTAGAACAACATGATTTTAGACAACCTCCGGTCAAAGCAAAGTTTAACTTTGATATAGCTCAAACCACTGAAAGACCGGAGAGATTTTAAAAAAAAGAACTAGTGTCAGACAGATGTGATGGGAGGGGTGATGGAAGGTAAAACTTGCCTTACAAAAGTGTCAATTCTCAAGATCGGTAGCCAACGTATTAGTTGGTGGAAATGAGAACAACTGCAGAATAGTCACCAAAATACTTTAGATAATAGGTTAAGTTATAGAGCTTTAGTAAAACTATTAAATAAGGCCACAGGCTCTGTGTGTTTTACTTCTACTCTGTTAGATAATACAGATATGCACATCCTACCCCAGACAGTGGGTTGATTCATACATTACACTCACCATCAGACATGAGGACATCCATATCAAGCAGTTTAACACCAGGAAGCCTACAGATGAATTCCTGATGTAGACACTTTATATCTCCACTGTTTTTCAGGCGCAGACCATAAATACATGCTTTTCTCTAATGCCTAAAACATTTTTTTTATCACTGAATATCTGTATTCCAGAGGACTCCTTGTTGTGACTTATCAAACCGGATCTGTTATCATAAAGTGCCCTTTAACTTTTTCTTCAGCCTATTTCATTTTTAGTTATACGCTCAGTCCTGCAGCTCACTTTGTCAGTGCTGTTTCATCTGATAGCAGCTCTATATTTCAACCCCTTTTTCCCATCACTGAGCTATTCTCTGTGTTTTCTCATAAGAGGATACCATGTATGGTCTGTTGCCTCGTAAATATGTCTGCAACAGGCTTTTTCCAAAGCAGTTGAACAGTTTTTGACCCACACACACAAAAAAAGAAAAAGGAAAATAAATCTGCAGTAAACCCACTGTAAATATTTATCCTTTATTAGGTATAAAGGGAGTTATTACAGACATTCTCCCGTTTTGTTGACCGATCTGCCACTATTTAAGAATACCCTTTGTTTCTTGAGGTAGACCGCTGGTTTCACTTAGTATCTGTTCTTTGCTTGTAGTCGAACTTTGTTTCTACAACCTTTTTTAAAGGCCACATTCAGTTGAATCTGTTTAATTTGAGTTTGTCCTTTTTGTGTTTGAGTTTGGTGTAAGTAAACAACCTTTTCTATTCAATCTACTCCTCTGTAAATGGATTGTTTGGTGCTTCACAAATGCACACTGATGAGCATACTGGGGTCATTGCTTGGTCTAATCCAAGAGCATGTTGACACAGATATAACAAAGAAAATCTATTTGACTGCAGTACAGACAAATATTTATTTATTTGATCACATCCATCATACAATCATAGACATGTACATAATCCAAATTGCTTCTTAAAGGCCAACCAGTCTTGTGTAGAAACAAGAAAGGTGACACCATCCAGTGTTATAGACTTCTCTGACCCACAACCACGACTCTGTGCCCACTGCTGTGGCCTGCACTAAAAAGCAGGACTTTTCACCTAGAGGCAAACTAATGTCTGCTTGAATAGAAGAATTGCTTTTTGCTAAGCATTTTTAAACATTGATGCTTAATGATGCATTCAAAGCTACTTTTTCTCATGCCTATGGAACAGGTTACACTTGTGGCAAATAATGAATAACCATCATATTAGTGCAGGATTTATTGAACAACTAAAGAAGCCCTGGATATGCTGGACCTGCTTCATAGTACAGACCCAGGACAAAAGCTGTTAGAGCTAAAATAAATAACATTTAACTTTCTAATAATTCTGAACACAAGAGTGTCATATCTCAGACCCTCCAACAAACGTCAAACATCATTAAGAGCAACAATGTGGTGGAATGGAGAAATTAGGTAAACTTTGAATTAAAACTTTATCATAAAATGTAATTATTGCAATATTTAACATGATATGTAATATAAGATCTACCTATTGTATCTATTCAAGTTGTTTTCCTGTAGGCGGATATATCATTTACGCATACCAGTGCATGATGGGAGATTTGTTTTTATGATTATCTGATGTAGCTCAATGACTAAATGTTTATGGATTATTTCTTTCTCATCCAACATACTTCTAAGCATGAGAAGCCGAATCCTGCTGCATTATGATAATCGACGGTATGTGATGTGCAAGTGCTGAGAGAGCGGTTGCTTGTCTGTTGCCATGGAAACTGTCTGTTCAAGGTTCCCATCTGGTAGCAGCTGAAACACTCGACAAATCTGAAAGATGGAAAAGAACAGGTGAGGCGCCTGACATGAAGCGGCACTTTATTGATCCAAATGAATCAGCGGGTTTGAACAAATCAGCCTTACTTCCTGAACGTGGGGCTCCTTGGCAAAAGAGATCCTTTCCAACTTTTGGCTCTGCAAGTTCAGCTGTGTTCCTGTGAGCTCTCCCTCTTCTATCTCTACCAGACCTGCACAAGTAAACATCTTCAATAAATATATTTTTGCCTTTTCAAAGAAGATCCATCAAGAGAAGAGGTGAGGGACCAGTGCACGTTCTGGAGTCAGTTTTTTGTGGAAGGTCTCTGAACAGTGGTGCTGTGGTAAAATGCGACCATGTGACAAAGAATGTACAATGCAAAAACACATTTGCAAGTTTAGCAGAAACAGAGACGAGAATGGATGTTGTAGGTTAACATTTACCAGAGTTCTGTGCGATGATGAATGCCACTCTGTTGGTTTCCGGCTGCATTCGTATAAAGCCGCACTCTCTGTGCATGGGCTTATTGGTGTCTGCATGAAAAGCATTAAACCTACAGAACAGAGAAGAGGGAGGCGTTTTACACCGATGCTGGAAACAAAACTGACATGCCAGAAAACACTGAAAGTGTTCACACTTTTTGTTTGATTGGTGCCGTAATACCTACATGAAGTTGATGACTGGTTGCCCCACATGACTGAAGTACAGTTTTTCAGTGTAGCTGAAAGGCTTCATAGAAGGGAAGCTGCCTTCACCAGGTTCTTCACTCTCCCAGGATCCCAGCAGCCATTTAAGAGGTTGGATGGCTGGGTTCAGTTCCACCGATGCTAAAATCCAGATATGCAGTAGAGGCAGCGTTGTCATGAAAACAGGAAATAAATTTAAAAAATTTGCTTGTGTATGGACATTATTTTAAACCTAAAAATACATTATGATTCTCACAAGAAGACACTTCACTAGTAGGTGAACAATACGGCCAAATATCCATCCATCCATCCATCCATTTGATTAGAAAATATTACAAGCTATTTCACTTACAAGTGTGTTTTTTGTGATTGGGGTAAGGTGGAGAAAAAACCTGCATTTAGACTATATTCAAACGCAAGAATAGATCTACAGACACTTGAATAAAATGACAATGCTTTGAATCTTTCTGTCATCACATTTATTTAGTTATTTCTGTGTATGTTTCCTTGTTTATTGCCGTATTGTTTTCTAACAATACAGGTTTGCAGTTTCCATTGTGGGTAATGTGAAAGCTGACAAACGAGAAAAACAAGGAATCACTTCTAACTGCACATATTAGTCATAATTAGCAGTCATGAAAGCGCAAGAGCTTGTTTAAATACCTCGGAAGGATGTCTGTAAATCAGCTTAAACAGCATTGGAAGGAAATGACACAACACGATGTAGTTGTTCAACACAGCCACAAGATGGCGGCAAAGCAACGCTGCTAAAGGAAGCTAACAGGAAACAACACCGAAGTCAGCAGCTTCAAAATCATGTTCAATGGGTCCTAAAATACATGTCTTGTATGACAAAACGTCAATCGTGGACTAAATAAGTGTAACCTTTACAAATACAGACTGTTATTCGAAAAGGCTTTATTCCCGACGACAAAAAATAAAGGGTTGACCTATGCCGTTTCGCAGCATTTTGAGCATCGTATATCGTGTCCGATTAAACCATTAATACACAATTTAATTAAAAAATAGGCTAGTTCAGAATGGCTCACATAGTCTGCATATTACTTATGTTAATCTATCTGGGCCTGGTCTAAAATGCTCCATGTATCAAGTGCCAGTAAAATGGCCCTGCTCGTCTTTTCACCTTTAATTTCCAAGCAGAGGCTAACCTGTGCCTCTTGCAGAGGAGGAAAGAGGAGGAGGTCTCTGCGGCTGCAAAACTGCAGCAAACCGAATAAACGACATGAGGAACGGGTTGGACGACATTGCAAATGGACTAAATGAAGGTATAACTGACATTAAAGCGCAAGTTATCAGGTCACAGCACACATTCAGCTCAGTCATTCTGGTGTTTATTTCTTCCATGATGTTACAGTAAATTTGGTCCTCTAAATTGGAGGAAAGGACTGAAATGAGCAGTAACGAATTTACGTTGTATGCCACAATAGGCACAGAACGACAAAAACATGTCTATGTCTAGGTTTAAATCCGTCCGTTTTTAAATGAGTAAAGAAACATAAAGTGGCAGAAACAGGCGACTAGCCTGTTTTCTCTAAGATGCTGTAGTGACATAAGTAAATTACCATTGTTCAATAATAATTTCAGATTACATTCTGCCGATAAACCTACCGATGCCAGCGACGGGACACGCCATTCATAAATACAGCTTTTCGACACCCAGGAAGAATCCAAAAGAAGCGAAAGGACGAAAAACTTAAAGTCGCAAGTCAGAGACAGCACAACGCAGGAGTGACACTAATGACGCAGCTCCGCGTGGAACTCTGGGAGATGTAGTTTACATAGTCTCAATGATAACGTCCAAGGTTATGACGTGTAAAAGATGCAACATGACATAACAATTTGAAACCCATAAAAGTGACACACTGAGGCAGGAGAAGTGTCCCATAAATTAAGACAAACTTTATTAACATATTCAGGCCCATGGCCTCAATGGAAAACTCTAGATCTTTATTATAGCATTAACTTACTTATAGCGTTTGACATTCCAGTCGAGAAAAGTTTTTGAAATTTCTGGACTATATGCAATGTTTCAGCAGTTTTTTGTGTGGAAAATTTTAATATTTTCTTTGATTCCCTAAAAAGTGGTAGTAAGTCACTGATCTAGGAATCGGTACTCCTAAGCCTTGCTCTTTTTGCAGTTCTTCAGAGCATCTGCCAGGGCGTGAAGTGCCATATCAGCGTTGGCCTTCTCACAGTTGTATCCCATCAATCCGATCCTCATTACCTAATTGAAAGAGAGTGGAAAACGCTCCTTGAGAATATTGCCTACGGTGACTCAGAAGAATGATTAAGAAGTATATGCCTTACACCAGATGTACGGTACAGAGGTTTAGTTCCATGAGAGGGTAAATCTAATCTATCTTGAGATAAAGATGTGCACATAAGTATAAGTATTACTTGTCAGGACAGAATAGAATGGAACATGAATTGTTTTGATGTGCAACACATCTCTACATGAAAGACAATTAACTATTTGAATACATCAAATAGTTATATTCTATAGTTCTAACTATTTGAACTAGTTGAGTACACATGGGTGTTCTGGCACCCATTTGTTAAACACCTACTGATGAGACAGAATTGCTTCTAACGGGAGCAACCCTGAACCCCATCTGCTTCATTGAAGAGACTTTATGTTCACATTTTCCAGGCTGAACATCACTATTAACTAACCATGCCGATGGATGGGCCCAGTCCTCCCGTCATCTCCATCTGATGGTGCTTCATTATGTAGACTAGCATTTCTCTCCAGTCATACCCTTCAGGAATGGCTATGGTGGTGACAGAGGGGAGCCTCAAATCCTACAGAGCACATGTAACTGAATTATTATGTAAGCATAAAACATTTGTACTGCCATATAACCACCCCACTTAAGCACAATTTGAATGATGTGAATGATGGGAGTCATGGTAGTGATACAATCAATTAATATTTTATTAGTTTGCTTTTTTTTTAAAAACATTCCATCTTAATACAAAAAATAATCAACCAGAACAATAGATTTCTTGGTATCTCTGTCTTACCCTATCAGGGATGAAGAGTTTGAGGCCCAGATCCTCAAGTCCTTTGTACAGGTAGGCTGCAACCTCCTTGTGTTTCCTCCATGACTCCTCCAAACCCTAGAGGGAGACAAAGATTGATCAAAGTAGCATGATACAAATGAAAGTAGAACTAAATTCTTGTGTGCTATATAAGACAATATTAAGGAATTACAAGTACTGTCCATATACAATAATAAAGCCTAATTTGAAGGAGTGTATCTAATAACTAATTTTTTGCAAAAGGTATTTGCTTAATGAATCATTTACCCAATTCTTTAAGATTTGACACTTTTACAAGACATCCTAAACAACATATGCACTCTATCAACTTAATTAAAGAAGCAGAGTGAAAGAAGTGTTAATATATTACCTTCTCAGCAAGAATGGCCAGACTCTCTCTTAGCGCAAGGAATCCAGATACAGGACCAGTGTGATGATATCTAAAAGCCACGAAATGTTAGGCTAAGTCACATCTCATATTTTAGAACTTCTCAATTTTTCCCCTTCAAACATTTACTTGAAGAAACAACTATTCCGTACACTATAACATCTTGTTCACATCCTATCATGAGAGCTGTTGATCAAAGTAAACTGAGGAAGAAAATGTGTTGGCAACATCTTGTAATCCTGCTGTGGTCTTACGCTCTTGCCGGTTTACCATCACAACCCCAATAGTTGGATAGATGCGTCATATCAAAGAGGTAGGACACAGGCTTTGTTTTCCTGTTAAACATCTTGTGGCTGTGTGAGAAAACAAAGGAGTTGTTACACACTAAAGCGTGCATGTGGAAATGACAGCAGAGACAGACGGCAGAGTCCCTCCTTACCATGCCCTGTCATTAAAGGAGATGGGTGCTGTGCCAGGAGGTGCATTTAAAGCCTTCTGAGAGCCAGTGTACAGGATGTCAATTTCTTGGAACATAGTGAGAAACGCCATGTAATACCGTGTGGGCACCAAGGTGAGCACAGCACATTTATATTTCATTACTAACTTACTTTGCTTGTCCATAAAAATTGGTGCTGCTCCAAGAGAGGCAACTGTGTCAACAAGGAAGAGGCAGTTATGCCTGCAAGACAAAACATTTAGTATATGTACATTTAGTGTATATCCATCTATACATACATATATAGACACACACACACATATATACATATATACATACACACACACTTAGGAGGCTTACTTTGTGCAAATGTCTCCTATGCCATCTATTGGGTGACAGAGTCCAGCCGAGGACTCGCCATGCGTAAGGAAAAACAGGACAGGCTTGTGCTTTTCTATGGCCTAGTGAGGAAAACAAGTTACATTTTTATGATTCACGTGTTCTTGCTTAAACCAGTATATATTGCTCAGATGTAGTAGAGAATGGGTCTCTAACTCCGGTCCTCGAGGGCCGGTATCCCGCAGGTTTTAGAGGTTTCCCTGCTTCACACCTGATTCTGATTAAGTGGATCAGTTCAAAGGCTCCGCACAATCCTGATTAAGACACCCTGACCAGTTTCAGGTGTGTTGGAGCAGGGAAACCTCTAAACCCTGCAGGACAGCGGCCCTCGAGGATCCACTTTGGGGACCCCTGTAGTAGAAGCTCATAGTTTACTGCTCCAAGGACTAAATGGTGCCTACCTGTCCAATTTCTTTGTTGGTGAAATATTTTCCAGGTTCTTTAACCATCTTGTGTACATTGGCACCTACAGAGTTAATAAAAATAAGATTCATTAGCATTAAATTGAAAATGTATCTCGAAATAATGCTCAGCTAGTTCTAATGTAAGGTTTTATGCGTGCGTAATTCTGTGCGTAAAAGTGTTTACCCATTCTTTCTGCAATTTCTGCCACGCGCTCTCCCCAGATGCCGTTGATTGCCACGAGGACGCTCTCTCCGGGCTCCACGGTATTAAACACGGCACATTCCATTGCCGCGTGGCCGGAACCGCTCATAGATATCGTCATATTGTTCTCTGTCTGAAAGGCGTACTGGATCCCTTTCTTGATGTCGTTCATTATCTGAAAATGTTCATTTCAAATTTCAAATTAGGCTCTGATGCGTTTTATAGGTTAATCCTTCTCTCATATTTAAACGATAAAAAAATTCTCTAATCTAATACTCTAATCTGTGCGTAATTTTGTCACCTTTTGGTCATCAACACAGATATGTGGACGTTAGCTATTTACATAGTCTACATTTTGTAAAAAAATCATTTACTGGCGATATTTTTGAGGGAGGCACAGTGTAATTTGTCCATCAAACGTAATACATCAGTATTCTATATTTTGCTTAAGAAAGTTGGTAAGCCATAACTTGGACTGGCACCTCCACGTTTAAGTATTTAAGCAACAGGTCTACTTAAAACTTGGTCTATCTGAGAACAGTTACCTCATACATTTCTGGATGCAGGTGGCCTATTATCGGTCGGGACCCGGCGGCTAGGACGCGGGGAGGAACGTTCGAGGGTCCGGGTCCGAACAGGTAACGCAAAGGTACTTCTAAAGGTCGCAGCATGCTGGCCGGCGGTGGGATGGAGACGGAGGACATGGAACGCTGCCGGGCGGCCAGAGGAGCGTCGAGGGCCGCTGCAGCCTGCTGGGCCAGCAGCGCGCCGCGGCGGAACAGAGCCCGCTGCATCACGGCAGGTGTCCGGTTCCTGAGAAGCCTGAAGGGGGATGAAGCCGCCTCAGTGAGGAGCAGATACTGACGCTGACTGAGTTTGGGTGAAAATTTAAAACAAACAGGTCTTTGACCTGGGCATGGACTGACGTGCGTCACTTTACGCAACAAAGTGCACAGTTGCAGATCAGTTGGTTATAGTGAGAGAAGAAGATGTTTTACTTTTTTGTTTACTTCTGAAGAAGGTACAACACAATTTCCTGTCATTTTTATTGATGTATATAAGTGTCTTTCAAGTTATTTCCTTAGCTTTTGCAGTAAACAAAATCATTAACAAAGTAATCAATAATTTTTTTGTCAATAGCAGTTGTGCCTTAAGTCCATGTTCATCTTCCCTGTAACACTGTATTGGAACATTTGTCAGTAAAAATACATTTTATCTATGACCCTCGAGCGTGCACATACACTCACTACATTTCAGGCCCAACTGGTTTTGGTTATCTTTTTCTGGTTCAAATTCACAACATCTGACTCTTGAACTGTGTGGAGAAGCGATGTCCTGCACTTGGCAGCTTCAAACCGGTTGATGTTGGTTTGTTTAAGGTAGTTTATTGATTTTTTTCCCCCTCTGTCTCCTGTCACAGCCACCTTTGGGGGGGTAAAGAGGAGTCTCCTCTTAGCGAACCAATCTGCTCTCTGAGATTCAAAACTGGGGCAAGCAAACAAACAACCACTCACCCTCCAATCCATATAAAGACACAAACCAACACCAAAAGAGAGTCCAGTATTACTGGCCATTGGCTTGCAGAAACCAATTGAATTATCCTACATAAGTAACATGAATAACCATATTTATCAGGCTGTTTGGTGATGAATTTATCTTAAACATACGTGAATTAAATCATGTTTGGTTGGGAGTAAAAACTAAACAGATTTAGAATCTATTTCAAAATCAGAATCATTCAAACCATGAATTTAAACATTTGCTGTCAAAACTAAAAACCAAACCAAAAAGCGTACTGTTCTATAACATGACTACTTTACACTCTTGCTTTTTATTATGTGGTTCAGGTGATTAATTCAACATATTGTACCTTTGTTACATCACAGAATGTTGCCAGAATGTGCCCCTCTTGGAGTGTGACTGAGTAAATAATTAGACTACTGTTGGATAAGTGAGATTTGGTTTCCCTCTCTCTCTGGCCTTTGCCCTGGACAGTACTCGCAATGTGTCCAAACAGAGCTGGAGCAGGAGGTGGGGGGAGCATAATTTTCTTGTGTCAGTAATGGTGACACTGATGTTTTTTTAAATGTCACAATATTCATTATGGTCTAAACAGAATTTTTACTTTTTGAAACATTCATCTAAATTCAGGTATTGATTTGTGAATTTCAGTGCGCTGCTTATCATCTTCACATCCACCAAACATGTCTATTCTGGTAGCAAAACAACTGGGCTCACATATGAAAATTTATCATGGAGAGTATAATGGTATAAATGATGGATGCTTAGTTTGAGACTGAGGTATCTTAAACCTGCACATGTTAACAGTTATGCTCTCTCATTTTCAGTCGCTAGTACACAATACTATGTTATCAGAGGAGACGTGAGCTTTGACCGTTTTCAAAGGGCAGTGCTGGACTTTTAGAAGGTTCATTGTCCAAAACAAAATCACAAATTGTAAGTTTGACTTCAATCTCAATAATGTTCAGAAATGTCAAGTATGTTTAGTTTGGCACTGTTGCTACACAGTAAGGGGGTTCATGGTCTGAATACCAGCTGGGGGACTTTCTGTGTGGAGTTTTCATGTTTTCCCTGTGAATGCATGAGCTCTTTCCAGGTACTCCATCTTCCTCCCACCGCCCAGAAGCATGTACTGTATGTTGGGTTAACTGATGACTCCTAATTGACTCCAGGAGTAAGTGCGCATGGTTGTCTATGTCTATATCTTAGTGTGTCTAACCTGTGAAGGGTTTACACGGCCTCTCGCTCAATGGCAGCTGATATGCCTTACCTACATGGCTTAGTGTGTGATGGATAGATGAATCTTTAAAGTGGCGACCAACAATATATATACATATCTAACTTCGGAATGCCTATGTTTTGAAGATATAAACTCAAATTATCATTATTTTTCATCAAAACGTATAAAAGGCATTCAAAGTAGAATTGTAGATGTTAACGTAGAAAATAGACTTAACTTCTCACTTCATGCATTGCAATATTTTTCCCCATGGTTTTTCTTTTTTGTGACGGCCTAAACTCTTTCTAAGCACCAATGAGTCCTCTCACTTTGGAATAAAACTTGCTGTTATTGAAAACATTTTAAGTTTCTGTCCAAGAGATTTTTATTAAAAAAAATACTTTGAAACTTTTCCCAACACTTATTTGACAACAGAGTGAATGTGATCAACTTAATCCTTATAAAGATATATTTTTTATACAGAAACCATGCACTTGGTTGTTTTACAACACTGTAATCCAAAAGCTATTTGCATTGCATTAAGCCAAGGCAAAAAAGAAAAAAAAAATCAGGTTTCATTACAAAAGACAGGCAATTATTTACATTGATGAATAATCAGATTCACAGTGTTGTGAGTTACAGTGAGTCAGTCGTGTGTTACATGTGTTACAGTGTGAGTGTGTGAGGTTGATGTCTTTGTGTCTCTGTGTGGCCCTGAGACGGACTGGCGGACCCTCCAGAGTGTACTCTGACTACTTGGATACTGGGACTACTGGGATAGGCTCCAGTCCCCCCGCGACCCCATTAGAGAATAAGCCCTTCAGAAAAAAAAGAAAAAAAAGTGTTATGTAATGGTGGAAATTAGCTGTTTGATCTCAGAAAATGACACAGAATTATAAATTCCCATATTTTCTATTGCTATAGAATTGGATAGGGTAATATAAGGGTATGGATTGGCCTACAGAAGGCCCGTGATGATGTTTGGTCAAATTCTCGGGTAAATGTACTTAATTCGATTACAGTTTGCCATATTTCTCTCTCTTGGGTCAGTCGTGGTCCATCCTCTTCCCTTTTCTCTGACGATGATGCTGATGCTGATGTCATCACCTCCTCCCAGCATCCCTGGTGCAGCTGCTCCGCCATTTTCCTCACTTTCACACAGACCGAGGGACCGGACTGACGGCGCACCCATCCGCTCGTTTATATGGCTCTCCCTCCGCCTCTGGTCTGACACTGTCCACCCGCTGACGCACCGCCGTGCTCGACACTCAGCCCCCCCCCTCACCCCCCCACCCCCTCAGCCCCCCCTCCAGTACCGCCACCGCTGCTACCCAGGCTGAGGCACACTCCCTTTCCTCGGCGGATTATCCATGTATGGATGCGCTGCGGGAAGTGATGCTGTAGGTTAACCAAAACACAGAGAGAAATACGGGCTGCGGAGGAGATTCAAGAAGGAGGCACCGGAGCATCCCGGCGCCGTTTTGAATGGGCTAGAGATTTGTCCTGTGAGGTTATCGAGGCAATTTCTAAAGGTAAGGCGTGACATGGCACGTTTTTTTTGTGGTAACGATTCGGCACCGATGGGTGCCATACTCCGCTTATGTGTGAGTTTTGATGATTTCAGAGCTTTTGTGCTTGGGAAAAAACACTTTCATTGACGTTTTAAAACGCATACCGCGATACGCAGTAGCCTACTCCATCAGCCGGTAATATTAGTCATAAAAGCCTCTAATCTCTTGTAAATTGTAGCGATATGTGCTGACCCCCTCTTTGACGCAGTAGCGGATGTTTTGGTGCCTGAGCCCCGTGTATGTTTACGCGGCCTGCCTTTGAGGTGCGGCAGGCAAAGCAAGATGGAGGAGACAATATCTACACGGGCTGATGTACGCAGCATGTAACGCACCCAGATCAGTCAACAATTCACCTAAAATGTCCAGCTTTTGTATTGATAAACGCTCGATAAGTGGATGGAGGTGCAGCAGTGCGCTCTTCAAGCAATGATAAAAATATTTCCTGATCATTTTTCATGGCCAAACGGTACTAAAGATAATATCCAACATCCAGGTATTGATAGTCAGATGGTCGTTGTGTTACAGTCGACCTGGAGCTTGTGTGTTATATCAGCATTGAGGTTGTACGGTTTCATCATCAGGCCTTGAGTCATGGTGGGCATGTTGTCTAACCAATAAGCAGCCATTTTACAGAATAGCTGAGATGCTGATCTTCCTGCCAAATAACGGAGCAGCCATTTAGTCAGCATGTTTGAGGGGCTGTGTGGTAATCCTTCCAGATCAAGTTATGCCCCAAAGCCAGAAAACGTCAGGTGTCCTTTCAGCCCTCGGTGCCTAACCAGGCTCCGTCCCAGCATGCAATTAAAAGTCTAACTGTAATCAATACAAATCTGTTTGTGGGTCTGACCTACACAGAGGTGTAATGCTAAATGAGGTTAAAGTAACCAAGTGATGTCGATGTGTTCCTCTCCACCTGCGCAGGTGCCCAGCGGTAGCCACATAGATCCCCAGCTCTTCCACCTGTTCGCACACACACCTCCAACATGGCCGGGGCTTCTGTAAAGGTGGCCGTGAGGGTCCGACCCTTCAACTCCAGAGAGATCGGGAAGGACAGCAAATGCATCATCCAGATGTCGGGAAACACCACAAGTGAGTATGGCCTCTGCCTTTCTTTGTTAAAAAGAACCTAATTTAAATGTTTGTTTTTAAAGTTTAACTGTGTTGGTCTAAAATTGTTCCTGAACAAGTTGGTATCCTTTGTTCTCAGTTAAAAGAAGAAAACATTAATTTCCCATCGTTCAGTGGAAGTAAAAAATGGTAGAATCTCAGAATTCTGCGCTTTGTCATGCAGACACGTTTTAAAATCCCTTCACCTTGCATTTACTCAGATATTCAGTTGTTTTTTATGTTTTGCCTTCACTCTACAAAACCTATCCTCTCAGTTTGTTTTTAACCTGTCCAAGAAGGTCCTTGGCGTTTCACTTGAAAGATACAGCCAAGACATGCATTTCCTGTCATGACACAGTGAAACCAGTTGTGGTTCAGAACAGAAACAATAGCCTCATGAGGAGACTTCAACTTCATATTCACATACAGTAAAATTGGACGCTTTAGTACAATCACAGTTTGAACCATCTGCTGACTTTTGAAATTGAGGCAATTTTCTGTTGTACATTCTAGTGTTTTGCTGTATAGGATTTCTTTTTTGAGAATCATAAAAAGGATTATTTGACTTTTTAAACATAAAAAAACATAAAAAAATTACTACAATGAAATACAGTAATCTACAAACAAAAGATATTATTTGGCCAAAATCCAAGCATTATTGTTTGATTTTACACCATCACATAATTCAATCACCTCAGATGTAAATGTATAACTGGGAGAAGAAATGCATTTAACATTCCACACTTAATTTTCTATAAATTGCTTTATTTCTAATGGTTTATGTCCTTAGATGTTCAGCATATAGTTCATAAAAAGGTCTTTTGGGACTACACACTGGAAATTCTTTTATAAGTCCAGGTCAGATGGCATTTGGAGTCTGCTGACCTCAGTCATATCATGTTTGTATAAACAATTTCGACAATTTGCCTCAGTTTTAGGACAAAGCTATAGGACAGTTCTGCCCTACAGTTCTTTTAACCATACCCCTCTGACCTACTTTTAGCCAAGTTTAGCACTTCACCTCGGTTATTTGTCTCAAAGGCGGCTTTGCCCCGCAGCTAAATGACAGAGGGCCGGGATGCCTGCTGCATCTCTGCAGCAGGACAGGGGAAACAAAAGCTTCAGTCAGGCCTGAAGCCCGCCAGTGTGTGTGGGATGTAGCAACCGCCGCAGTTCTCCCCTCACATCACACGAGCTGTCAGGACTGAAAAAGCTTCGTTGTTCTGTTTGAGCCCAGACCCAAGGTCAGCTGACACCAGTGTGTGTGTGTGCGTGAAGGCCGGGGGTATGTGCCTGTCAGTGTTTTTGGTGACCTCACCGAGGCCAGACGATTGATTCCTTCATCGCATTAGCTTCCGAAATGAGCTGGTTTTGAGTGCACGTGCTCTCAGCTTTCTTCAACATTGGGATGTTTTTGGTTGAGAGCACATTCCTGCAGGGCAGTGCTTGTCTACCAAGGGAGATACAGTGGTATCATCATGCTCAGTTCTCATGTTGATCGTGCACAACATTCTCCGCCCTTTTTAAAAAAGATGACGGGTGCAGTGTCTGTGTTTGGTTTGGACTGAAATCGCTTCGACTGTAGGGCTTCGAACTTTATATTTTTCTGGTTATTCTTACGGCTATTTAAGCATATGGCTGGTACTTTTTGAAAAACAACTTAAGGAGAATAAAAATGATCAACCCTATAATTTAATAGTCCTTCCTTTGCTAAAACTCTTTCTCTTGATCAAATTCAATAAAATAAGCAATGTGTGCTAATCTAATGTATCCATTAAAGTGAGAAGATGTCACTAAGTCCATCACAACCACCGCACAATAGCATAGGTGTTTATTAGAGATGGTTATGATGGGGGAGTCTGAATATTAACAGTGTGATGTTAGTAAAATACTATAAAACTGGCATAAAGATAAATGGACACATGCAATGAAATTATTATTTTAATTGTATGACAGTGTGTCAGTAGCAAAAAAATCCACCCTCATCACTTGTAACTGATGATGTTACTTCACCAAAAATGATCATTAAGATGTTAATTAACGTTAATCCAAAACCAAGGTAGACAATTTTAAACACAACTAAAGAAAAGGAAAATCTTTTAATTTGCAAAGAAAAAAAACATTTGCATCATGAAACCTTGATGTGCACACAAAAAATTATTTATTTAGTGTTAGAGTGGGAGTAATAAGATAAAGACAGAAGATTTAGATTCATAAATTATTTGAAAAAATTTACACATTCTATATCCTGCAGCAGCTTGAATGGAAATAGTCTGGAAATATGGAAATATTTGACCTGCTTGTATCTGAAATGTTTGGTTCTTTTCTTTTCTTTTTAGCAATCCTGAACCCAAAACAGCCGAAAGAAAACAAAAGCTTCAACTTTGACTTTTCTTACTGGTCACACACCACGGTGAGTTTTACAGTCTCGCTCTACAGTACTGATATGAAGTTGATTTGTCAGATACTTTAATGGTAATCATGGGTGAGAAACCTTTTTGTGGTCTGTGAATGCTGTGGGTTTCTATGTCTTTGCCCATCATTAATTCAGCTTTAATTTTGCGTCTCTGCAGCCGGAAGACATCAACTATGCATCTCAGATGCAAGTGTACAAGGACATCGGAGAGGAGATGCTGCTCCATGCTTTTGAAGGCTACAATGTGTGCATATTTGCATACGGCCAGACCGGAGCGGGCAAAAGCTACACCATGATGGGCCGACAGGAACAAGACCAGGAGGGGATCATACCTCTGGTAAAACGGAACGAAAATAAAACTTAACTATGTCAACACACCTAATACCAAAGCTAATGCATTTGCTAACAGAGCTTTATAATGAATAATTTGCGGTGTTTTATTTTAGATACTTAAATATAATACTTAAGAATAATACTTGGAATTTATTTCCAGATGTGCGAGGACCTTTTCACCAAGATTAACGACTGCAATAATGACAACAACATGTCTTATTCTGTGGAGGTGAGTAATGATGACCCCTTACATTTTTCATTGATAACTCAGTCCAGCGTGTTCAGGTCAGAGGTTTAAACTTTAGTGTTTTAGATAAACTTATTACAACACAGCACGTATTACAGAAAATAAGCTTGAGTTTAGGTTTTTGTGTTATTTTATTATGCCCACAAATAGAAATTCACACTTTGGAATTCTAGGGCTCCATATTTTTCTGATATTTAGTTAGTAACTCATACATTTTTTTAATGACTGCCTCTAATTCCACCCTTAGGTGAGTTACATGGAAATCTACTGTGAGCGCGTTCGGGACCTGCTGAACCCCAAAAACAAGGGAAACCTGCGGGTCAGAGAGCACCCCCTGTTGGGTCCCTATGTTGAGGATTTGTCCAAACTGGCTGTCACTTCCTACAATGACATCCAGGACTTGATGGATTCTGGAAACAAAGCCAGGTAACAAAGTTAAACAGGTCGATTTTTAAAGTCGCCAAACACATCAGTTCTTTAATCTGTAGATGAATCAACTGAATCAACTGAATCAACGGACGTTTGGCTCAAAGTGATAGCTTGAGAAATGTTTCTTTTTCTTTCTTCTCAGGACCGTGGCTGCCACAAACATGAACGAGACCAGCAGCCGCTCCCACGCTGTCTTTAACATCATCTTCACACAGAAGAAACATGACATGGATTCAGAAAACACATCAGAAAAGGTTCTTCAACAAAAGTCTTCAGTTCACACTGCTAAAAAAGCAAATCAGTGGGGATACGGCCACGGATTCAGCTGGGAGTTTGGGTGAATTGTGATAATGCCTTAGTTTCATCTTCTTATCTTCTTTATTTTCTTTGTTTTAATAGGTCAGCAAAATAAGTCTGGTTGACCTGGCTGGCAGTGAAAGAGCTGACTCAACCGGAGCCAAAGGAACCAGACTGAAGGTGAGGGGAACAAGTCCTTTTTTAAATGTTTATACATCCTAATTAATAATTCAAATATTCAATGTGCAATCTAAATGACTGATTTTTCTTTATGTTTGTACAGGAAGGAGCAAATATCAACAAATCTCTGACCACACTGGGGAAAGTTATTTCTGCTTTAGCTGAACTGGTAGGATTATTATATTTTCATAAACAATTAGAAGTGGGAACTCCTAATTTGTGTCATCACATTAACAAACATGTGTGTTTGTCTTTAAACTCTTAGGACTCGGCACCAAACAAGGTTTGTAGTAACACAGACATGTCTCAATTTACAGAAGAATGCAAGAAATAATTTTTTTTTGCTGTAAATTTCCACTGACTCGCATGCCTTTTTTAAATCTTGAACAGAACAAGAAAAAGAAGAAAGTGGAGAGTTTCATACCCTACAGAGATTCAGTTCTGACATGGCTACTGAGGGAGAACTTAGGTTTGCAAATATAGCCAAAATAACCTGTTTTTCAAATGTGAAATCGCTTTCTGTATTGAGCTTAATCTCATTCTGCACAATTTAGGAGGAAACTCTCGCACTGCTATGGTGGCCGCTCTCAGCCCTGCAGATATTAACTACGATGAAACCCTCAGCACTCTCCGGTAAGGAAAATGACACGGAACCTTTTTATTTTTTTAGGAATTAAATCGGGTAATTTTCCATCTAAAATTCTCCTGATGGTGAAAAGCAGTACCTCACAGCCACTCATGTTTTTGCCCATATTGGCCTCTGTTTCTCCAGGTATGCAGATCGGGCTAAACAGATCCGCTGCAATGCTGTGATCAATGAGGATCCCAATAACCGGCTGGTGCGTGAGCTGAAAGAGGAAGTGGCTCGTCTCAAAGACCTGCTATATGCACAGGGCCTGGGAGACATCATAGAGAGTGAGTGCCACACCTGAAACACAGCCAATACAAAACACACTGTAAATGCTCCTATAAAAGCTATTTGGAGAGGACATTGTTCTTTTGGAATGAGGGTTTCTCTCTCACACAGTCTTTCTTCTCCTCTGTCCAATCAGTGAACCGCTGCACTGGTCCTATCATCACGGGTTTGAAATGTGCGTTTAACTCTAGCAGGCCTGCATTTTGCAACTAAAAGAGTGAAAAAAAAAACACCTCATTCACCACACCAGAGACCAAACTTAAAATCTGGAAAAATGTTGTTAAAGTCAGCTGATGGATTGTTTTGATAGAAACATGTTGAACATGCTGTGATTATTTGTAGCACAAATGATCACTGAACAGTCCCCCCCCCCCGACGCATTTGGTAAAATGGCATCCTTTTTTCCATTAATTCAAACGGAATAGCTAGCACATTGTCAGCCTATCTAAAAAAAAAAGATCTAAACACCTTGTACCCACAGACGGACTTTTTCCTCCTCTTTGTCAAAATTTGCATTATTTCTTGTAATTTATTGAGATTAAGCTGTCCAGAAGTTTAAAAGACACAATACTGAAGATAACAATCTGTTTTTGAAGTAGTGTCTTAAAGAAGCACACAGCAGCTTATTATGGGTGGAAGATTTAAGTGTTGATAAAGCCATGAAATTAACAACAGCTGTTAGAAACCCAAAGCTCTATAATGTCATTAAGGGACTAAATATCTTTAATTTCTTGGGTTTGTTGACTTTGTATAGTTTCCCTTCATACTTTTATAAGTTACAATAGCTTAAAACAAAATCAAACGTTAAACTTGCTTAAAAGGTTTACGTAAAAAAAAACTGTATCCTTTCCTCATCTGGAACTGAGGAAGGATTGAGGAAAGGTTCAGAGAAAGGGTGCTAAGTGTCCCGGCATGATGTATGCAATTGCATTTTTTCTTTTGATATGGAAACTTAATGATTATAACAGAAGAAACTGAATGAAGGACGCCATTTTGGACAGCTGTGTTTGCATTCTGGTTCTCTGTGTGTGGAGCAGCTATTCATTGAGGCTATGGGGCCTGCACTGAAGGGGCTATGCTACCATTGGCTGTGTTACACAGCTTAGAAACATTACTTTATGCTTCTCACACACTCTTTTTGGGGTCTATATGCATCATAATCAAGCTTTGCCGTAGCATTGATTGCAAGCTCTCTGAGAGTTTTTATAAGTAGCTCAGCATCAGAGAATAAAAGAACAAGCCATCGGTTCTCTTGACATTTATGCTCTTTCGTTTGAGTTGCTATTATCTTTTTGCCTGCATTTGCTTTGATGAACAAAACAGATATGCTTCCATAATTTCAGCTTCTCTTCCTTGTTTTGTACTCCTCTTTGTCGATCCCTTATTTTTCTCTTCGTGGTCGTCTCAATCCCCGGTGTCTCTCCTTGAATACCTGCCGTTTGTTCGTGCCCTCTGTCGTTCCTTCCTTCATGGCTCACCTCCATGCACCGCCTCTCTTTCTGGCAGACCTGTGCGATCACAAGAACCTTGTGAATAATCGCCTGGCTGCCAATCAAAGAGGTGATCTCTCCGCAGTGACCAACGCTATGACAGGAATGAGCCCCTCCCCTTCGCTCTCCGCCCTGTCCAGCCGCGCTGGTTCCATCACTAATCTCCACGATCGCATCTTCAGCCCGGCCAGCGAGGAGGCCATCGAAAGGCTCAAGGTGTGAATGAGGGATAAGGGTGGCTAAGAAGAAAGCACAGAGGTTTCTCATGGCCACAAGAACGATAAGTTTGACTTTGGGCTTTTTTTATCCATGCGTTTTCTTTCCTTCACCTACAGGAAACTGAGAAAATCATTGCTGAGCTCAATGAGACGTGGGAGGAGAAGCTGCGTCGTACCGAGGCCATCCGTATGGAGAGGTCTGTTGAGATGTTTGAGTTACTGTTGTGCTCATCTCATTGTTTTCTTGAAGTACACAATCTCCAAAAAGAATCCTTAAAGAGTAATAAAGGCAAAAGCAAGCCCTCGTGACTCAAACAAACAGCAGAGTCAACACAATAGTTATAGATACAAGTGAGATGAAGGTTCTCACTCAACAAAGTCCACATCTGTCTGCCTGATTGTAATAGGGAGGCTCTGCTGGCTGAGATGGGTGTTGCCATGAGAGAAGATGGAGGTACGGTAGGTGTCTTCTCCCCTAAGAAGGTAAGGTGCTTGTCCTTGTTGATAAAAGTCCAAATGAGTTAAATGCCTACTTGAAACCTGCGGCAAAACAGATGAAAAGAATGCGTATTCCTTTGCAGACTCCTCATCTGGTGAACCTCAACGAAGACCCGCTGATGTCTGAGTGCCTGCTGTATTACATCAAAGATGGCATCACCAAGTAAAACCTGACCCTTATTAAAAAAGAGGATTTTGTGTTGTTTTAAAACATTCTTAAAAATAATTCTGTTGCTTTCTTCTAACAGAGTTGGCCGTGAAAATGCCAAGACTCGCCAAGACATTGTTCTCAGTGGCCATTTCATTAAAGATGAACACTGCACCTTCAGCAGTACCACCGGCCCTCAGGGAGAAGGTAAAGGCTTAAAGCCCTACTTTGTGAAGACATACTAATATTCACTAAAAATATTCTGATATCTTGATGATCGTTAACCTTTTCCTCAATCAGGATGTGTCATCCTTGAACCATGTGAGGGATCGGAGACTTATGTCAACGGGAAGAGAGTTACCACACCCATCGTTCTGCGATCTGGTAGGCAGAACAATATTGAATATTTCTTTTGAAAAAGAGCTTGAAATAAAGCTTACATTTCTAAAAGTATAAACGGCACGAAAAGTTTGATTTCAAACCTTGTTTCTGATTCAGATCTTTTGAAATTTGCATTTTTAAGGGAACCGTATCATCATGGGGAAGAGCCACGTGTTTCGCTTCAATGACCCAGAGCAGGCTCGTCTGGAGAGAGAGAGGACTCCATGCGCTGAGACTCCCGTGGAGCCTGTTGACTGGGCCTTTGCTCAGAGGGAGCTGCTGGAGAAGCAAGGAATCGATATGAAGCAAGAAATGGAGCAGAGGTCAGTCTGGAGGGATACCAATAAAGATTATAAAGATAACGATGGTTTAGATGATGATTATTCTTATCGTATGTTTTAATGCCGTTTTTAGACATTCCATTTTCAATGGTTTTGTGGCACGATGAGCTCATTTGAACTAAAATCAATTCCTCCAGGCTTCAGGAGCTTGAGGACCAGTACCGCAAAGAAAGAGAAGAAGCCAGCAACCTGCTGGAGCAGCAGAGGCTGGTGAGTGAAAAGCTTTAATTCTTAGCAGAAAATAAGTCGAGTCATTCCAGTTAAAGCCACCGAAGCATTGTAGTGTCCCAAGGTGACTGGTTTCACACATCACATGACGGTTTTTCAGGACTACGAGAGTAAACTGGAGGCCCTACAAAGACAGGTGGACTCCCGATATCTGGAGTCACCTGAGGAAGAGGAGGAGCCAGAGGAGGAAGGTGATACTGTCACTTATTACTGTTAAAGTCAGAAAACAATTACGTATTCTTTATGCAGATTCTTTAAAGTTTTCTCTTCTCTCCCGGGTTGCTCTCCAGTGCCGTGGACAACACGTGAGACTGAGCTGGCGCTGTGGGCCTTCAGAAAGTGGCGTTTCTACCAGTTCACCTCCCTCAGAGATCTGCTATGGGGCAACGCCATCTTTCTTAAAGAGGCCAATGCTATTAGTGTGGAACTGAAGAAGAAGGTTCGTCAATATTATTACAATGTGATTTATTTTTCTACTGTAGGGCCAAATATCACTTCTATTCTGAGTTATTTTGCCTATTTTGTATTCATTGAGCCTGTTGTAAGTGATTGGGGAAGTTTTAATCTTGCAGATTAAATATATTATATGAAATATATTATATTATGAAGAACTTATTTTCAAATCAGAATTCATATGTATGATCGTGTATAATGATGAGTGTGGAGACTAGTATAACGTTAGTGAGGCTGAGCATCAGAGGTGCGTTGTGAGTTTAACAGCACATAGTATGACAGCAGGGCTATGTGCAAAAGAGTCCAGGTGAAATATTAAGAGGACTGATATATGATGCTAAGGATGTTTTGTGGGGAAACGCAAAGAAGAAAATACGCAGCCTTTAAACGGGGCTACATCTCTGCAGGTACAGTTCCAGTTTGTCCTGTTGACGGACACTCTCTACTCTCCACTGCCTCCTGACCTGCTGCCCCCTAGTGCGGCTAAAGAGCGAGAGAGGCGGCCTTTCCCTCGAACGATCGTTGCTGTCGAAGTGCAAGATCAAAAGAATGGAGCAACACATTACTGGACACTGGAAAAACTCAGGTCCCGAGGATTTTTTTTGTTCACATAGGGATTGTCTGGTTCCTTTCATGGTTATGTTGGTATTATCTATCTGCAATATCAATCATTGGTTACATCCTTACAAATATTATGCAAAGCCAGAGGTAGATTCTGTGTGTTTTCTTCAAATGAGAAAACACATGCTTGATAATTCGGCATGTCAAGCTCTCTTTTTTTTTACAAACTTCTTTTTGTTATGGCACATGGTTACTGGACTTTCACAGGATTTTATATGTGCCTAATCCGATAAATGCGTTTCAGAACAGCCAAGAGATATTGTATTTCACCAGAGTTGGCCTTTCTAAATGATCTCCCACTGAGGTTTAGAATAGAATTTAAAATTCACATCACACACAAAGCCCTTAATGGCCAAGCTCTGGCCAGTCTGAAAGATCTTAGTGTTCCAAGTTACCTAAGAAAAACACTTTGCTCTCAGTATGCTGGTCGACTTGTCCCTGTAATCACAAGGACAAGAAAGCCTTTTTCTTTCAGGCGGCCAAGTGGCTTCCCTGTTTGTCCTTTATATACTTTTATCCTTTTCTCTTGATTTATTTGCTGTTATATTACTTAGGCTTAGCTATTTTTAAAAGTTTTTCTGTTAATAAAGTTGATTTGAACTGAAGAGTTTCCTCAGGTTTTGCAGATTTTTTTTTCTCGACATTCTTGTTCATTCAATGAGTTACTCGGTTCAAACTTTCTTCATGTCTATGGTTCCCCCTGCAGGCAGAGACTGGACCTGATGAGAGAAATGTATGATCGTGCCGCAGAGCTTCCCAGCAGTGCTGTAGAGGAATGCGACCACGCCCTGACGGGGGGCGACCCCTTCTATGACCGCTTTCCCTGGTTCCGCCTGGTTGGCAGGTCGGTTATCAAACAAACAACACGCAATTTCGTAGTACAGTAAAAGCCTGTAAACACTGTCCCTCCTCTCCGCAGGGCTTTTGTGTACCTGAGCAACCTGCTGTACCCGGTGCCCCTGGTGCACCGCGTGGCCATCGTCAGCGAGAAGGGCGAGGTGAAAGGCTTCCTCAGAGTGGCCGTTCAGGCCATCTCAGGTACAAAAGTTGTTCTTCTTTTGGATCGCAGCTGCTGGACATGAAAGAAGTCATTTTCAGTTGTTAGTTTTTTTTGGAGATGGTTGCGACATTTTAGTGTTACATCTTGTTTTGTTCACTGTTTAGCTGATGAGGAGGCTCCTGATTATGGCTCTGGGGTGAGGCAGTCAGGCACCGCCAAGATCTCCTTTGAAGACAAGCAGTTTGAAAAGGTACCCTCTAAATAAGCCATTCACATTACACAAAAGTCCAGTGTAGGAGCTGAAAGGAGAGTACTTGAGTAACATATTAGCCATGGAAATCAGGCAGCACTGATATGGTCTGGTTTCAGTTCCAGACCGAGACGTGTCCTGGTGGCCTTTCACACTCCAACACCTCTCAGGAGGAGCTGAGAATTGTGGAAGGAGAGGGACAGAATGCAGAGATAGGAATCTCTGCAGACGAAGTCAACAACAACACCTGTGTAGGTGAGGAGAGCTGTGTGCAGAGAACTCTATGTGAGTGTACAGTCAGCAGGTAAGATACAGATTCTGGTTAATGACTGCCAGATTTTTACAGGACCTGAGATGCATATGCCAAAAAATAAAATAAAAATCAGCATGTCAGGAATCTTTGAAGCATAATAAATTCTTCCACTGACTCGGATATGCTTAAAAGAAGACATGACCATGAAGACGTAAAGCTGTAGTTGATGAGTTAAAATCTGATTTTCTTTGTTTCAGTCTGTCTTTCTTTGTGCTGTTCAGCCACGCAGGAGGCGCCCCACAGCCCTTTGAAGAGTTTGGGTCTGGGTCTAGATCTTCCTCTGGAGTTGTCTCCTGAAAAAGCTCTTTCTCATCTGAAGATTGGCAGCACCTTCACTTTCCGAGTCACCGTCCTACAGGCCTCCAGTATCTCAGCAGAATATGCAGACATTTTTTGCCAGTTCAAGTGAGTTTAAGCATAAACAGAAGCTGAGTGTATTTCACGTGCAATATTGCTCAACTTAAATGCTACAAAGATTTTACCATTTTTTTTACATTGACCAACAACAATAAAACATTCAGTCGAATTTTTTTCACCAGCTTCATTCACCGTCATGATGAAGCTTTCTCCACTGAGCCGCTGAAGAACACGGGCAGAGGACCTCCACTGGGCTTCTACCATGTGCAAAATGTAAGGAATATCTGCTACAGCAGAGTTCACCTGTCATATAACTTCTTTATTTTGATTTTCAGTAGTTTTTCCGGCTGCACATGTTCAGATGAACACATTTGCGTTTTGTTTCCTCTTGGTTGTTAGATTACAGTGGAGGTGACCAAATCCTTCACGGAGTACATCAAAACTCAGCCCATCGTCTTCGAGGTGTTCGGACACTATCAGAAACAGCCGTTCCCTCCACTTTGCAAAGACTTGATCAGGCAAGAAAAAAATTTGATCTTTTATTTCCATTACAAGTTATAATTGAGTATGTCAGTAAAATATGAATTCATGGAAATAATTCTTTTTTCAGTCCTCTCAGACCTTCCAGGAGACAGTTCCCACGCGTGATGCCACTATCCAAACCAGGTTAGCAATGCTGATCGTTAAAATCAGAGGACAGTTTATTATTCACTCAAACACATAATATATTCATTTAAAAATGCAATAATATCTGAAATGTCCTAGAAATGTCCTCTTTGCTCTCTTGCAGAATGACTAACTTGCAAATGAATTTGCTCTCTTCCTGTTCGTTTAGTTCCAGCCACCAAGCTCAGCACGCTGACGCGCTCCACTGCAGGACCGTGTCATGCCAAATACGACCTCATGGCCTTCTTTGAGATCTGTGAGCTGGAAGCGAACGGAGAGTGAGTCACATCGCTTTGTGTTGCCAGGCAAAACAAATGACTTCGTGCTGTAAAAATGAAAAAGTGAAGCATAAATTTGTGTTGGAGATGATGATTATTACATTTTCTCCAGCTACATACCAGCTGTTGTCGACCACAGAGGTGGGATGCCATGCCAGGGGACATACCTCTTACATCAGGTTTGACCACTTCTCCAAAACTTGCCGTCATACGTACAGTTATGCATATGAAAAGTTATATTTTCTCCCCATGAAGGAGACAAACATAATGACTTTGAATACTCTGGTGACTTCACAGGGAATTCAGAGAAGGATCACGGTTACGATTGCTCACGAAACAGGAAGTGATATTGAATGGAAAGAAGTCAAAGAGCTGGTTATCGGTGAGTAGGATCTGGTTAGTCTGATATTATGTTGGCTTCTATTTAAAGAGAAAGATCTCATTATGATTATCATCACAGGTCGTATTAGAAATACTGCCGAGGCTGATGAGACTATCATTGACCCCAACATCCTTTCCCTCAACATCCTGTCCTCTGGATACTTCTGGCCAAAACACGATGACAAGTACGAACTTTAGGCTACTTTTTTTGTTAATCTTTTGTTGAATTTTGTTTTCTTTCATTGATATTAGCTGACACTCTTTTGTTTTAATATCACTGACTTTTCAGACCGATCAGTTGTTTAATAATTCTAGACACAGACACGTGTCTATGTTCCTTTAAAGCATTTTGTTTTGGTTTGCACGAATCTGCTTTGCCTGCCTATTTTAAACTTTTAACAACTCCGGTTAAAAGTTTCTAATACGTATATTGCTGTTCTTTTTTCTTTGTTTCTTTGTTTTTTCTTTTTCTTTGTTAATGGCAGCGTGTCGTTGGGAGTTGATCATAGGTATAATGACTATTTCTTTTTTTATATTTGTAATGTTGTGTTTGATAAGAAATGTTCTCCATAAAGGTGTCTTTTTTTAGCAATAACAGAAATATTTGATCTCTCCTTTTTGCTGAGTACAGAACATTCTACCGGTTTGAGGCGGCATGGGACAGCTCCATGCACAACTCTCTGCTTCTGAACCGAGTCACTCCATACGGAGAAAAGATCTATATCACCCTCTCTGCTTATCTAGAGGTAAATATGTGGAATTACAATATTTATGAACTATTGGCAGTATGGGAAGAACAACAAAACAACACTTTATTTATGTTTAAAGAATTGTCGCCTATTGCTGCCAGTTTTTTTTGCTTTAACTCCACTGGTGAATTTTCAACCATCTTTGTCTTTCTTTTTACTGAGCTCAACTTAGCTTTATTTTTTATTCTGTGACTAGATGGAGAACTGTACTCAGCCAACAGTTATCACCAAAGACTTCTGCATGGTGTTTTACTCCCGTGACACGAAGCTTCCAGCATCCCGCTCAATCAGAAACCTCTTCAGCACCGGCTGCCTGCGGCCGTCAGAGAGGTACGCAGTCATGGCCACTCACTGAACCACTCACTGAACACTGAACATTGAACTGGAAATGACTCTTTCCTTGGCCCCTGAAATGTTGTCCTTCTCTGTCTTAGTAACCGTGTCACAGGAGTTTATGAACTCACTCTCTGCCATGTTGCTGACAATGGGAGTCCAGGTGATTTAGAATTCCAAAGAAAGCCATTAAATATACAACAATCTGTTGTGAGTGTTTTTTATTTGATCGTCCAAATGATTTCTCTTAACCAGGCATGCAGCGCCGGCGCCGGCGCGTGCTGGACACCTCTGTGGCGTACGTGAGAGGGGAGGAAAACCTGGCCGGGTGGAGGCCTCGCAGTGACAGCCTCATCCTGGACCACCAGTGGGAACTGGAGAAACTCAGCTTGTTGCAGGAGGTCGGAAAACTGTTGCGATAAAGAAAAATGACTTGAATCACGATGATTCGGTGACATAAATGAGTGAGAGATTTGATTTGTTTTGAAGGTGGAGAAGACCAGGCACTACCTGCTGCTGAGGGAGAAGCTGGAGGCCACTCTGCAGGCCGGACAGGAGGTCCTTTACAAGAGCAGCGACATCAGTGACTTTGCAAAGAGCCCCGTCCTCAGCCACAGTCCCGGCAGCAGCCCCGCCCCCGAGAGCCCCAACCAGAGGCAGAGGGAGCTGGCTGCCAAGGTGACTGCTGGTGGCCGATGGCCTCCAAACCGAGACTCAGTCACGTTTTGTTTTGATCAGAAACAATCATTTACTGTTTTTTCCCCCTGTCCCCTTTCCAGTGTCTCCGCCTGCTGATGCACACCTTCAACAGAGAGTACAGCCAGGTGAGCAGCAGTGCCAGTGAGAGCAAGGTGAGCCCCAGCCTAGGCCCTCTAACCCCACCTGCCACTCTAATGTTTGCTTAAAGCCCTGCATCCCTCCTATCTGATTGCTACCTGCTACTTGCATTCATTAGTCATTTCTGCTTTTCTTTAATATTCTAATTTGCCTCACCTTATTCCCGATAAGGTCATAATACTCAGTTATACTGTCTTTATGTCTTTATAAAGACCTAAGAGACTTGAGTTGAATATTACTCATAGGTTTGTCTGAAGCGGCTGAAAGAAGTGTGCCAGATTAATTGGTCAAAGCAGCTTAAATTTATTCTTTAAAAAGTCTTAAAAAACATTATCCATACATTTTTCCTTGTAATAATCAAGTATCCCCTCAATCTCCCCTTGACACCTCTTGTCTTTCCTGACTAGAAACTGCAAAACCTCCACTAACATCATAACACTGCATGTCCTCTTTAACATAATAACTAGCGAGGGGCTCTTAGACTTGTTGAAGATTAAAATCACAGCGGTGGTTCTACAGAATATTTAAAAAAAATGACAAATAGCTGATTGACTTGTTCTCTGAATGCATGTATGTGTTGTCCGTGCTTAATTGTTTGCTGGTATGTTTTGTCTCTATCTGTTTCGTCTCTTTTGTGTGTCCTTGTTATTGTTGCTCTGGGTGTCTCTGTGTGTGTGTGTGTGTGTGCTCGTGTGCTCGTGTGGGTGTTTTTTTTAGCTGTCTGAGATATCAGCATCGCTCATGAGAGAATCTTCCTCTTCTGGACTGAGCACGCTCACTCCCTCGTCTACCTGCCCCTCACTGGTTGATGGACATTATGACATGAGGTGAGTAAATGTGACCTTTCTGTCCTGACTACAGGCCTTTATTTTGAATTGTGATTTCAGACAAAAACATTAAAATTATGTGTAAAAAATTCAAAATGCTGTTTCTCAAAGATTTGAATCTGCCCAACTTGTTTTGGGTTGCTTGATTTATCACAATTACCTCTGTTTATCTTGTCCTAGAATGATATGCCATATTAGAGAATTATTAGATTGTGATAAAAATAAGAAAAATGGAATTTCAGCCTGTCTCTGCAGTGAACACATTATTTTTGTTGTCAAGACTCACTGATCCTAGTTCAGGAGCCTCCACACCAGACCTGGACCCGTTCAGCCCTGTGGACAGAAAGAAAACTCTCAGAGGGTACACCTTTGTTCCAGACATACAGGAGATTCGTGTCAGGTCAGATCACGTAAAAAAATTCCTTTATATATTTTTCACGTTTTCAGTGAGAGGAGTCATAGACAGTAGCTTTTGGTTTATTCAAGCCGTCACATTTTGCACTAAAGCTGAATTGTTAGAGTTTTTTAATTGATTAATCTCTTCTGATATTCAAAATACGTTATCCTGTGGATGTTAGTTGTATTTACACGCGTTCCCTTTTTGCAGTCCCATCGTCTCAAAGAAGGGCTACCTGCACTTCCTGGAGCCGCACACCAGCGGCTGGGTGAGGCGCTACGTGGTGGTGCGCCGGCCCTATGTTTACCTGTACCGCAGTGAAAGGGACACGGTGGAGAGAGCTGTAATCAACCTGTCCTCTGCTAAGGTGGAATACAGTGAAGACAAACAGACATTACTGCGGGTATGGGCAAACATAAGTTTGAGGGAAAAAAAATAATCACCGAAGATGTTTTATTTATAAAAATGTGTCTAAACCGCTGCAAATTCCATGTTTTCAGACTCCAAACACATTTGCTGTGTGCACTGAGCATCGTGGGATACTGCTGCAAGCAACCAACGACAAAGAAATGCACGACTGGCTTTATGCTTTTAACCCTCTGCTAGCTGGCACCATCAGGTGGGGGACACACTTTGTTTTTTGGAAATCAACAGCTGCTTTTGTGCACTAATTCTAATTCTATCAAATTTTTTACATGCATGAAATTGCAAAATCTTAATTTAAAAAGTACTTTACAAACTCTTTATCTTCTCTCAGGTCAAAGCTTTCCAGGAGAAAATCGATCCAGTCGCTACCATCTGCTCAGAGGATGTGAGAAGCGAGGCGTTCTGGTGAAAAACAACAAACAATACAATCTCAGCTCAGCATCCTGCTCTGATAAACCTACAGTTATATAACAACAATATCCTTCTATGTGATTTCTACCCCAGAGTGCTCATTTAAGAATCCAACAAAACCCAACCCCCCTCTGTTTTTGCTGTCATGTCCTCAAACCCTGCATGGTGCAGCCAACCCCCTCCCCAAATCTCACCCTAGAAGAATTCATAAGAGAAACTATCCAACCAAACCTGTTAATTGACCTCCTTCTGCTGGGCATTGGGACTACTTCTGATTAGTTTTCTTGTACATGTAGATATATTTTATCTGTTAAGCGACTAATTCCCTGTAAAAAGGTAGTATGTGACCATTATGTACCATTAATAAAATTAGGACCCCGTAGTAAACTAAAAAACTAACTATAAACTTAATGTCAAGAGAAGTGAAAAAGGAAAAATATCCACCTGAATATTTCTTTGTGTAGATCTGTGTTAAGTGCAGGTATGATAGCTCCACCATACGTATACTGTACATTACCTCAGTTTGAACCGGCTTGGTGCTCAGCATTGTGTTTCACTGCAGAGGTCTTAGATAGCAAAGAGATTAATAGCGAGTAGACATCACTTTAACACAGAAGTAGCATAAGAAGGGTTTTGCTTGGGCAAAAGGATGAGGTGTTGTTCCTTTGTATTTTTTTTTAACATTTGAGTGTATTGGCTCAATTAAAGAAAACAAATCCGCTGTACGAAGAGAATAATTATGTCCTTGACTTGCTGTTGGTATGCATTTTTTTTAACATGTATAGTCGTTGGTAAAATCATGAAGTAAAATGTATTATCGCTTTTGTAACTTCTCTACTTTGTAATTTATTTGTGACAAAACCACTGACAATTTTCTTGCATGGCACTTTAATGTCTGTATTGATTTTGTGTGTGATTTGCATTGTTCTTTTAACCAAAGCACTGTTTTTTCCATTTTATTTGATTTAGCCATATTCCAGTGCAGGTAGCAGGTAGTTCCAAGAAATAACTGAGGTTTAAATGCATAGTCTGACAATTCCCAACAAACCCAATTCCTCGTAAATTGAGCTATGATATTTTATATGACATACTGTTTTAGTTTTACATCAAATTAGCACTTTTTTCTGTTGGTTATACACCAGCAGATTTACTACATTAAATACATTATCTTTGTCTTGTAGCTAAAATTGAAAGAACAGAGTTGTGCTTGACTATGGACCTGTAATTGGTTGAGGGTAGTTACTTTGAATGGACCAGAGCGTTATCCATGCACCAGATAGTGCCTCCTTTTCTTTGCCTCTTTTCATTTTTTCCGCCTTTATAATCTTACTCAAAGAGACTACATTTAGCTTGGAGTGCCCAATATTAAGCTTTTATTGGGAGTAATATTGAATTCTATTGGTCTTTTCGAGTTTTGACGATATGTTTAATATATTTTGGAGAGTGACTATTATCAGCCACCCTCTGTGGTGTCTTATTGCCTGTGACAGCACAGTATAGCACACATCTCACTGTAAATGTTACATTATAAACTATGTTCCTCTCAGCTTTTTTATGGTGGATGCTTTGGCTCCCTGATGCTCGTGTCAGAACCCAGTGCAGTGTTTTCAGCTTGTTGATGTTGTTACTGTAATGACGGTTTAATGTCACATTGATCTGTCAACAAAGTACTAATATAGCCCCTGATGTTACTTTTAAAGTGATTTGCGAGTACAAGATAAAATTAAGTGGAAGGTGGAGCAATGTTAACAACAATATCATGTCATATATTGAGGGCTGAGGTGGACATTAGTTTAAGAGATCAACACAAAATCAAAGGCATGGTCAGCCAGCCATTCAGCCTTTTTGTTCTCCAAGTTTTGACTGGTAATGACCCTCTTATTGGGAAATCTAACTTTTAGTTAGCAAACAGAAAGGCTCTAGAACTCTGTGTGCCACAGGCCAACCAACCTGTTGAGCAATACAGATTAGAGGAGTGCAGGTGTGTAGAAAAGCTTTACCTGAGTGGTGGTACATTGAACAACGTATTAGTTGCTACTGTGCTCAAGAAGATATAAAGATGTTGCAAAGATTATTTCTGTTTTCTGGTCATCCTGAAAAAAAACATGTAGTTTTTTTTTAAGTAAAATCTTAAAATATATGCTGTGTGATGTGTGTTTGCTGGTACAGAAGACAAATAGAAAGTTTTGAAGCATACTTATGTTCTGTGACTGTATTGCACTTATGCACAAAGCATCTTTATTTAATATGAGTTTGTATTGTGATGTTTTAAAAATGTTTTCACCTGACTTTTTTTAAGGATAAGTGATATAAAGCCCCTTTTCCTTAAATTATCAAAACATGACACACCACTACTTTGTCAAATTGCATTGACCTTTTCAGTTTACAAATGGCAGGAGACTTGCAATGCTCCCATCCCCTAATAGTTCAAGGATGTCATATAAAAAACACTTTGTGAGTCGGTTTTAGTGTGTTGTTCAGTACGTGTGAACGGCACGTGAGTTGATTGTTTTTAGATTTGGCTTGCTTTTAACTGTCATGGCTGTGGATCAAAGCATGCCGGTCCACTTTTCTTCTGCTGAACCCTGTCCCTCTCTCCTGCCTTACTGCTTGCTAATGACAACAGCTTTCCACTCCTCAAGTGCTGCTTGTAAAGTATTGTCATCCATGATTCTTGTAATGATTAACTGGAAACCTTCCTCTTGGTTCTGTCTTGTATATAAATTGAATTTTCTGTGTTGGGTCTCGGCACACAGATTATATTAACTCTCTTTTCCTCCATTTACTATAATGACTAAGAATAACTGTCCTACTGCTTTGTTGAGTGTCCCCACAGATTACAGAGTGCTGATCAGGGATCAGGTTTGCACATCGTCACTGAATGTGCTTGATGTCTTATGTTGGACCACTAAGAATTTTGCCGGATCCGTTATTTTGCTCAAAGTTGCTTTACTGAAGCAGACGGGTCTCAGCCTGTGATGAAGTCTTAATCTCAGTGCTCACATTTATCTTTGGGGCGTACTGGGATACTTTCTCAAATCTGTGGACTCATAACAAAAGTTGTCAAGAAAAAAACAAGGCGAATAAATAAACGTGTTGAAACTTGTGCAACATCTGTATGTGGTGTGTTCGTTTGTTGCCATAATGTGGTTTGCTTCATACATGTTTGACAACGACATACTCGGTACAATTTCATTGAAAATGTGTGTGCATGTGTGTGTTTCTCAAAGTTCAGTTGTGGTCCCCTGCTGGTCTTTTGTCCCAGTGAGCTGCACTGTCCAGATAAAACATAAAGTGGGCGATTGAAATTGTGCTGATAAAATATTATTGATATTGATTCCTCTGGAATAGACAAGCTATGGAGCCTTTAAGCATTTAATTGTCTTAGAATTTTGTGCGATTCCATAGCAATAAAGCTGAGATTGCTGTCACATTCACATAACTGTGAATGCAGTGATGCAAAATGTTTCACGATAGAATTTAAAAACCTTCACAATACTCAACTTATGTCAAGATAACAATCTTTTAAATGTTACTTTTACAGTTGTAGCAAAGCATGTTCCAACCCACCACAACACACAAATCAGTTCTTTGCTATGGTGTTAAAATAAAAAATACAATAACACGACAGAAACATTCTTCAAGTTGTAAACTGACAATGTTGTTTTCTTTCAAATATTCTCTGCACACGGTTTTTAGTAAAGGGACAAACTAAATTAGTAAGGTATGTAGTTCATTGCTGTGGTAGAGTATAATTCGACAGGACAGTGTTTGCCCTGTTAATGAATAATACTCTTTTCATTTCTATTGCATAACGGTTTGTACTTTTGCTCTGGGTGAACACATGTTCCAGCCTGTGTGAGGCTGTGTATGTGCAGCCTTCCATTATTGATTATGTACTCACCATGTTCTCAAGCACAGCAGCAGTTAGACTAATGCCCTGTTAGCAGAGGCAAGAAAAGGCCACTGGACTCGACACAAGAGCCCAGGACAGAGTCCGGGGCTATAGCCTCTCATGTTTCTCTTTCTGTATTGGTCTGTACATTTCCCTCAACATGTATGTGCTGCCACTCACAACAGTCCTCAGCAGCATTTCACAAAGTACCATTGTAAGTAATCTAAAATAGCATTGAATAAAAAAAACACTATTAATAAAAATTAAGCCAGAAAATACTAATTCACAGAAATTTAAGAAAGTGAATCTGTTACATTGTTCCCCATATCTTGAAGAAAAAAAGTGGTGGAAAATCAATTAAAGTCTTAGTTAAATACTTTAGCTTCACATAGCTTCACATGTAACATTGTGTCTACTTCGTGTATCACTTTGGATAAAAGCGTCTGCTAAATGCATAAACATAAACAGCTAGAGTACTTAGCTGTAAATCTGACAAGAAAACAAAATTAAAGTAGTTTTAATTAAAGTAAATCATTTGATTATAAATATGAATATATTTAAAGAATTATGTATTATACAATAATAATTACAATTAGAAGTTTAAGTTAGAGTTAATTTTTTAAGATATGTTCAAAATTGTCACAAGTCACAAATTTAACGGCTTTTTAACTAATAATTCAGTAGTTACAAAACCAGTCACAATATGGGGGTTTTGACTTGAATGGTGAACACTCGTGTGCCATTCAAAATTATTACACTATTACAAATAGTCTATCTCTTTTTACTAGTATTTATCAGATGCCATTGAAAAGCTAACTAACTTTGTTTGACTGTATTTTGAAAACTATTTTGTTTTATTTTTGACCACCGTAGATTCAAATGACATTATTCAAAATGACCACAGACAGACACACTGAATCACATCATAGATCATATTCTGTATCTGCCAGAAAAAGCTAGAGAAGTTGTGTTATATGTTGGTTGAAACCAATTTTTTGACATGCTAGATCACTGAGATGTCAGTGGCATCCAACAGGACAGCAGCCGGTCTGCTTTTGGTGCTTTTGCACCTTTAACACACACATCTCAGCACGTATGGTTCTCTACAGTATTTTGTCTCCCACATACTGTACATTCACTTTGCTATAGTTCTATACTTCCAGGTCTTGGTCATCCTATCCCATCCCTTTAATTATGCAGACAATGAAGGCCCCCCATCTGAGGTCTGGGTCCAGGTGATGCTGCTCCTTGGTTTATTATTGTTTATTTGCTCCCGCTGGGCAAAGAGCTGACATCAGCTCCAGGATTATCTGCCAAGATCCTAATAGTTTTCTTTCTTAGTCTTTCCTATTTATTGCATAACCCTGCCAGCATTCATCTTCTTTCATTACCGAACTGTCAGGAATATATTGTAAGTATAATATTTTTATCATAATAACTGGAAGAAATAGCTGTAACTCTGCAGATTTATTCAAATGTAATATTTTGATATTTGATTATGGATCAGAGATCCAATTATATGGAGTGATAATGCATCCTATTCAAAACCTTTTCAGTTTCTAGACAGTTCCTTCACAAAGCTTTTCAGTTACTTAATAAAACACTTTACTCAGAAAGAGCAAATTATATTGTTGTTTTCTATCTAGGTTAGTTTCTACAGATCAATTTTTAAAATCTTGAAATTACAGATGAAATATTAATTGAGAAGAGATTTTGGTTGGGAAGTAGAACAGAAACATCAATCACTGGCAAGCGCCCTGATTCATGAAATCAATTGTCAACAGTTCCAGTGATGCATGTTGACAAAACATGCTCCAATATGACTGAAAAGGCATCCTCTTTCTATGTTGGGCTATACTTTCAGATGTGAAAAAATACGTTTGCCAGGGTTTTAGTACACTTAAATGACATGAAGCTTGTGAAAAGAAATGTAGTTATTCAGTAAGGTTGTCTTTAGCAGGATATCATGTGTCTGCAAACTCTAACACGCTTTCTGTAGCACTCTGTGTGGGCTACGCAACATTCTCTGCCCTGGATCAAGTTTCACCACTTCTTGCTTTAGGCCAAAGTACCAAGCGCTGCTGCCTGTATCTTTACATTAGTTCATTGTGTACGTGTGTACGTGTGTGCGCACACTTAGGGGTTCTCAGTTTCTTTGCAGATCGCTTTTAAGCTATTCACTCCTGTGTAATCTGTCACTTTTCTGCACCGGTGGGGTCCACGTTTCCTTTTTCTATCAGTCAGTCTTTGTGTTCATTTCATTTTCAGAAGGCTGAAAAGATCCAGTTTCATTCAACCCCCACAGCGTGAAAGAACAGCATAATCATGGAGAGCAACAAGGTGACCTGTCAACAGTATAAAAATGGCTAAAATTAGACACATTTGGCATACAATATACAATATATATATGTAACCTTTTATCCTTTACGATACACCTCCATGACTTAAGTGAAACCATAGGAATAACAGTTTTCGAGAAACTAATTTGCCACTCTGAGAACAAATCCAGCTAGAAAAAGACACACCTTGATTGTTTAGCCTTTTTTCAGAAAAGAGGGAAAGCATGGCTGTGATTTAGATAATGGTTTGGGTTACACCTTTGGTGAGATGGCATGAAATCATTGCTCATCCCTGCTGCGTGCTTGTCCCCAGCAGCCGGTGAAAGAGGTGCTTCCCCTGCCTCGACAGCCCACTCCACTACACGAGACCTCGCCTTCGTCTTTCAGCTCTGCCACCATCTCAGGAAAACACAACTCGGGCTCCCTCCAGCACGTTCAGGTGGCTTCCTCAGGTGAGCCACGCGCAGGCTGCATAACTGAAAATGTCTCTACCAAAACATTTTCAACGCCTTCATTGCTAACTGCTTCTGACGGAAGCCTGTTTGAAGTTTCACCTTTAACCTTTGACATTTTTACAGTGGTGACGTCATTCAATCACCTGAAGCCTCCTGAGAGGGACCTCACACCGATGTCTCAGATGAAGGCTATCAAGTCACTGAGGCATGCTGGCTTAACGGCAGTCTTCACTGGGCAAACAGTGAGTTGCCTGGCACATCATCCAAGTCGTGCACTACCCCTCAAATCCACGGCTTTGCTGTGCTGTTTCCATACCAATCAAATAATTCTGGGTTAAAGTTAGGCTCCACTCTGCTAGAAACCATTTTTAATTTAATCTATTTACTTTCTCTGTCATGGAACTAAAATAAAAATGAATCATGATTGCTTTTTCTGTATAGTTTTCAATGTATTAACATGGTCTCTTATTTCATGAATTGTAAAGTGGAGACCAGGCCTGAACTGCATGTATATCAGTTTAGGAGCCCACATGTATGCTGTAACAACTCATAACAACTCATAAATGCCATTTTGTACTGTGTTGTTTGCATAATCGAGGCTTTTTAGGTTGATATGTTGAAGAATTTGTGTCTGTCTTACATTGATGAATGCTGACAGAGGCTTGAGAGTGAGGATGTACTGGAGGAGTTACCAATCGTCGATGTGATCCTGGCTGACATTGACTCTCTGGTGCCCACCCATGATGAAACGGGCCGCCCCATAGCCGAGTGGAAACGACAGGTGATGGTGCGACAGCTGCAGGTCAGGATTCAGGATGAGGAGGAGCAGAGGAGACAGGTACTCCTCATCCATGCTGTGCAAATGTGTGAGACACAATTTGAAACAGAACAAATTAAAACTGAATGCAAAGCAATCCCTTACGCAAATATTCACATTGTTTGACCCATCTCTCAGGACAAGGTGAATGGCTACATGCCAGTGGATGGCTGGAAGTATTCGCAGGCACACAATGCTGTCTTGGGACCCTTCGGTGAGCTCCTGACAGAAGAAGACCTGGTCTACCTACAGCAGCAGATCGAGTCTGTTTCACTGCAGAAACGCTGCCAGGCCTATGAGCTGGAGCTCACCAGGCTGACTGAGGAGCTCAGAGCAATTCTTCCAGATCCCATTGTCAACATTTCCCTAAACAAAGAGGTCCTGCGTCAGATGGACTCCGAGGAGAAAATGCACTTGGCTTTGCCTGTCTGGTGTAATCGTGTCTCTGAGATTGTTCGGAGCATGTCTCTGCTGGTGGCTAATCTGACTCAAACAGCCGAAAAGGAGGGTGAGTGGAAGATGGTGGAAGGCATGGTGGAGGGCATGAAAGGGCTGCGGGAAATCAATGAGAGTTCAGGAAATGATCTAGACCAGGGGTTTATTCCCCAGGACCCAGGGATGCAGCAAAAGCCTGCAGAGACCTCCAGTGGATGCAGAATACCTCACATTGGGATGGCATCAGCTTTTAGCCATCGCTTGGAGAGCAACAGTTGCAGCAGAGCACGAAGGGAGAGGATTGAGAAGGAGATCCAGCAGTCTGGGGTTTCCGTGAGAAACCTCAGGTCCAACTTTGAGGGTCAGATTGGTGGGATTTATCCCTTTGCTGGAGTTATTCAAGCAGAACAAGCATTTAAGGGCCAGTGTGAAGTTAGAGATTTTGGAAATAACAGTGTCAACACAAATGTCAGCTATGATACCCCTAAAAGACGAGCCCCTGTTATGGAGACCAACAGTTTGAGAAAAGAGCGAATAGTTGTGCTGTTTCTGAGCCACTGGAAGAAATCTGCATATGCTATTTCAGTGAGGGCATCGAGGCAGAGGCAGGGACAGGCACAGGTTGTGGCATCAGAAAAAGTGACAGCAGATCAGTCTCAGCAGAAAATAACTTCCCTGTTTCAGTTTTGTCAACAACGAGGAGCTGTGGACAAAATGCTGAACTCCTGGAGGAATAAATTAGAGCTAGAAGATGCTCATAAGTTATGTTTGCTCTCCCCCTCTGACGTCTCACAAAATCCACTGCCTCGGGTTACTTACTCCCCAGAGCAATTCCTTCCAGACATGGACGGTGTGGCGATGAGCCATGACAGCTTGACCCTTGACCTCTTCATGCTCGGTTACTTCCACATTTTAGAGCAGGAGTTGCCACCTGAGGAGAGGAAGATGAGGCATCTCCTTTGCTTCGAGGTTTTCGACCATGTTGGCTGCTTTCCCTGGGAGAAGGTCAGAGATTTCCACAAGGCTGTTCTCCTGGAAATCCAGTCGGGGAGGCGACAGTGGAGTGATGGCTTTGAAGACCTCAAAGTTAACTTCTTTGGCGACTCCAGACCATGCCGCTGCCCATCATCAGCGTCATTGCGCCCAGGGTCCAAATCTGTGCCCGCGGTAATCGTGCAAAGTGCTACTCCAGATGAGAGTGGCAGTGACACAGACTTCTCCTGTTACAATAATGAAGATATCTGTAAATATATTGACCGCAGCTTCGCATTTTGGAAAGAGAAGGAGGCAGAGATTTTTGACTTTGAGCACTGATCTTAAATCTGACGTTTCTGCACAAAATGATACTGGTGTGGTTATTTTCTGAAGGTGATGGGCACTGAATAAAACTTAGCTGAGAATGCATTACTGGTGTACTACAAATGTAAATAAAAAAGTATCTCCTGTCTTTTGCAAGCAGAAATGTATGTCAAGGTTTGTGTCATGGGTACGGTGAGGGCTGCTCGTGGTGATGGACTCAGTATAGATTTACTGAGAAAACCTAAACAAAAAGTAAAACCAGAACACCAGCTGATGAGCATGACAAGATGAAACTAAGGGCCTATAGGCGAGAATGACAAACAACAGAACAGTACTGAAGCAACACATAGTTAATCTAACTAAAAGACAAAGCATGTGTTGAACCAGGTAAAAAACAACTGAAAATGTAGAGGGTTCAGATATTTATTGCCTCTATTAAAGTTTTTATAAAA